GTGTGTGTGTGTGTGTTTGCTAACAAGGCTCTGAAGTGTCATGGCTTTTCTCTGCACTGACAGTACGGTATCATTAGAAGCTCTAAACAGAAGTGACAGTAAAAGAGGAAAAGTGGCAATTTAGTTCCTTAAAACCACCCCTGCAACATAATGGCACTATATGTCTGTGTGTACACTGCACATCTGTGTGTGTACATCGCAAAAAACATTGGCTTAATTTTTTTGTGACAGAGCCAATATGATTCCTCTATTTTAGACTACTACTACTCTGATAAATCACTGTGTTTAGAATAGAATGTTTTTGTCCCATAAAAGTTTTCATTTAGCAGCACAAACATATATATATATTTTATTACAACATCTCATAAAATAAAGTAAAACAAATAATAACTTCATGAATTAATATTTTATTAAATATTATCTGGTCATTTAAATCCCTCATGGGATTATTCAAAAACATTAACTGACAACATAGCTAACATTCTGGCATGTTAACCCACCGCCATCTAACAGCATAACACCTAAACAACAACCGAGCATTGACATACACCTTCCACAAATAATACTCCAAGAGATATCCCACAATAGAAATAGAATAAATGTATTAATCTTAAATCATGTAATTTCAGATTTGGCCATAAAGCCGTATTTTTCATAAAACAAGAAATAACTCTCATGAGTGTCGTTATCTTGAAAGTAAAAAAAAAAACAATATGAAGGAACTTACTTGAAAATAAGATTTTAGGACTGTGTGGCTTTTAGGAATTGTGTGTTTTGTGTTGTACACAGATTTTATGTTTTGTGTGAGCATGTTCTTTTACTTCTGGTCTGAGTCATCTGTGTCTACAGTCCGTGGTTGGCTGAAATCGCCTGAGATAAAGGGGCTCTCTATTTATCTCTCTATGTCTTACACACTCACACACAGACGACCGGCTCTCACGGACAACGTGACCAGCCTGTCGATCAGCACATGCTAACAGCAGCCTCTGATACATATAATGTTGCCCTGAGGTTCCTGTGACACTCGCATGCACGTGCGCACACACACACACACCACACACACACCACGACACACACACACAGACACACACACACAGTTACTGGCCTTCTGTACACTCTCTGACCACAGCCCTGCTCCTTTCCCACGCCAGTGCTGAACTTTGGACTGTAGCCAGCACATCTCCTCCTCAGCTCGAAGTCAAACATCCCACTTTGTCCTGCTAACTCATGTAGGGTTGATTTCACAACCTCGCACAAAATAAATACATGCATATTTTGTGAATAATGCAATAATTAGGCATTTATATAACATAAAAATGTCAAGCACATAAAATACAGCACATGCAGCTGGTCTGAGCTTTTACTGCAGAGTTGCAGTCAGTATAACAGTATACAGTATCAGGCCTTGACATTAACCGACTTTATTCTACCATTGTTACTTGTCAACTCTCACAATGGGTCAAGTGTGAATATAAGTGGTTCAGTGCCCAAATTATGACATTCTAGTATATGTGAACAAGGTTTTAGCCTCATTAGGATCATAAAAGATGTTTGTGCAGATGAGGAGTGAGAGACAGAGTTATTATATATTTATTTTAATTTGGTTTGTAATTTTTGTTTTAAACACAGTTTTACAGTTAATGTAGTTTCCAGAGTGGGTTGTGGTTTCTCCGGTTTATTTTTTTTTAAATGTTTAGTTAATTAGTAATTTTTATAATTTTAATAATTAGTTTTAGTTTGTTAGATTATAAGTAAATTAGTACTTGTCAGGGGTAGGATTTGAGAAGTTCAGAATAATCTCAATAAAAATATGCACCAATGCCTCCTCATGCTTGTTGTGTTCTTCAACTGAAGACATTTCCTGTATACTTTCACTTTATTTTAGTCCGTACATAATATTGTTTTAGTTAGTTTTAGTTAAGTATAATAACTTTGGTTAGAGGACAGTTTATTTCTGCAACATGAAACCATCTTCACTGTCAACCTGAGCATGAGTGGCTCAGTTTCACATGTGAATGGCCTTGAGTCACCAAATACAATAGCTTATAACACAAAGGTATTTCCCACTTCTCTCTCCTTGCAGTGTGTACCAAGGGTCAGGCAGTGAGCGGTCAGTATCGTATGCTGGCTAAGAACGGAGGCTTCGTGTGGGTGGAAACACAGGGAACTGTTATTTACAACAGCCGCAACTCCCAGCCCCAGTGCATCGTGTGCATAAACTATGTCCTCAGGTAAGCAGTGTTATCCTGTTGAACTCAGTTCTGGCTAACTGTAGGTGAAAATATGTCCAAATCAAGTTTTATTTGGTCAAAAAGTGTCAATTGTTTAAAATGTCTTGATTACTTAAAACCATATTAGATTTATGGAACCACATGCTAAAAAAAAATTACCATCACACATCATTCATGTTTCTAACACAAGAGCTTAATATGAGATATTTTAGGGTATTTAAGGGTTTTATGTACTGTAGAAATGTTCTCTGAATTCTGTATCCACACCAAACCCTACTCACTCTGCTCTCCCTCTCCAATCCTGCAGTGACATTGAGGAGAAGGCGACTATTTTCTCTTTGGAGCAGACAGAGTCCCTGTTTAAGCCACGCCACATGAGCAGCTTCTTCACTGCTGGATGTGCAGGCATGACTGGAGAGCCGGAAGATGTCCTCTTCACCAAACTCAAAGAGGAGCCGGAGGACCTTGCCCAGCTGGCTCCAACACCCGGAGACACAATCATTTCCCTCGACTTCGGTCTGTACTGACTTCTGTCACTTAAGTGGTTGGGGTCATTATTATGATTGCTCTTGGCTAATGTGTCCTGAAAAATTCCCTCTACAAACGGACACCTTGTAGTGCATTATTATACTTAAACGACTTTCCAAAACTAAAACCTGAAACAAGAAATAAATATTTCCCATGATATTAAATATTTTGAACTTCAGCACTGCTTTGAACCAACAGTTTTACCCTTATTTAAGGCTATAAACGCTACTTAGATCTTGGCAAGATAATTTTTTCGTACAAATTGGCATCAGCATTTAGTGTCTCATGTTTGTGAAACCTTTTTACCATGGCACTTTAACTCGCTATTCTTTTCACCTCATTCTAATTTCTACTTCTTTCATGCAGGTCGCAATAAGTTTGAGGAGCCCCAGCAGCCAGCTGGATATACCCAGGTGTCTGCCACAGCTATGCCACCCCCGGGACCTCCGTCCTGGACCAGCGAGAGCCACAAGCCTGCCCCTCCAGCATCAGGCCAAACCCCGGCTCCAGTTCCAAGGGACATGTCTAACATGGCCAGTACATTCACTATGCAGCAGAATCCGCCAATGGGCAGCCCCACTCCGAGCCTCAGCAGCTGCTCCACGGTGAGGACGAGGACGGAGGGTGCAACTGAGAGGCTGAATGTTAAATTGAAAAGGAGTAATTAGTTAGTGAGCGAGGGACTGGTTGCATTTGTTTCATAGTTTGTTCTCTCTGTTCAGTGAGGCCTGGGGGGGTTAAAGGTCACTAACTGTGGGCAGTGTGTGTGGGAATAATGGGGGTGGATGTTTGGAAGGAACAGGCTCTTACCAGTGAATAGTGCCATTGTCAAAGCTCATCTCTCACTCTGTGTTTCTTTCTTTCATTTTACACTCTGTTCTTCCTCTTACATTTTGTCCGTTTTTCTCTGTAATTGTCATCCTGGTCCTCTCTCCTTCCTCTCTTCCTTTACCTCTCTTGCCCCCATCCATTATTCTCATTTCCTCCATCCTCCCCCTCGCTTTCATCCCTGCAGCCCAGCAGCCCAGGTGATTACTACAGCTCCGTGGAGAGTGACCTGAAGGTGGAGCTGACCGAGAAGCTTTTTGCCCTGGACACAGAGGGCAACAGCAGTCCTGCAAACACTGAGGTGTGTGTCCTTTTCTTCATCCCATGAATACGCTTATGTCTAAACCTTTTCCTCTCTGTGTTATTCTTTCATTAATTTGACTTAGGAGTCCTTGTTTACGGAATCTGATCCAAAACTTGGCTTCCCTTGTCTCTCTTCCCTTTTTGGGAAAATCTCATTTCAACATAATATTTTTCCCATGTTAAAGGACATTTTGTTAGTAGTAATACAACTTGACAAGCATTTACAAATTATTACTAGATTTAGTGGGTATAAATCATTTATTAACATTTTGCCACGTTTTAAGCAATGTAGCCTAATAGTTCCCCTCTCTGCAGTTACCAGGTTTTAAGGTAATTTTAATTTTCAAAGTAATGACACATCATTCTGATCATTCAGAAACACAAATCTCTGAGAACTCTATGTGTACCAAACTTTTACTGCCTCTCACTTCACTTTGGAGTACGTTTCTGGGTTTGACCTATTTTAACTAAACTGCATGACTTTCCATTTTTGACAAACCATGTAATATTTCCTTTTCCCAGAGGGACCTGAGTGACTTAGACCTGGAGACTTTGGCTCCTTACATTCCCATGGATGGCGAGGACTTTCAGCTGAATCCTATCATCCCAGAGTCAGAGCCCCTGGAGCTGGGTCAAGCGGGATCCATGGGGAGCAACAGCAGCCTCACCCAAAAACCACAGAGCTTCAGCAACATCGCCAGCCTCTTCCAGCCCCTGTCCTCCCCTCCTCAGTCCCAAGGCCACTACCAGCACCAGACAGCTGCATCCTGGGCTGCAAGGGAGAAGAGAGGCTCCAGCCAGCGGAATGTGGACCCCCGTGCAGGGTCATGCATGATAGGGCACATGCAGAATCCCCCATACCAGGCACCAGCCAGCACCCCTCTGTCCTCCATGGGTGGGAGGCAGAATCTGCAGTGGCCACCAGACCCACTGTTAACCTATCAACAACAACCACGTGCCACCAAGGCCTACCTGATGGACACGTTGGCAGGAGAGGAGCGTCTGTCCTACCAGCAGAGCATGCCACATCTCATGCAGAAACAGAGGTGATGTCCTTATATTTTAAACCAAGACTGAAACAATAAGTCACAAGGTTTTCAAAATGAATGCAATGGTACAACTACAAATCATAAAACAGCTGGCTGTTTTGACATCAAATTTTAAATCTCGTTGTGTGTGTATTTTGTTTGTGCAGGTCCATTGACAACTTTGTACAAGCCTACAGAGACATGAGTCCAGCCAGAGTGTCCATGACCAACAGTATCAAGCGCTCCTTCACCCAGATGGCTTCGGTGAGTTTCTCTAATAATCATACAGTATTTATCATACAACAATTCAAGTTTCCAGAGTTAGGGTTAGGGACTAGGAACAGGACCAGGTTTGACTTCCAAAATATTTTTGATGTCACAAATAATGCTTGTAAGCTCCGCCCTTTAAAATCAGGTTTTCAGTGAGCACAGAGAAACTTTCAACTTTCAGCAGATGAATGTGAAAACATCCTTCTAGCACATACATCATTCTGTACAGTGAAGCTCAAACATTAAACTGTAGGAACAACAAACCTATTTTTGAGTGGATGCTTTAATAAAGCTGTGTGCCTTGAATTGTTTGGGGGGGATCACTGTCTTTTTGTGGATGTACAGCTAATTACGTAACCATGTGATTGTGTCTCAGGATGAAAATAAGCCGTCTGAAATCATCTGGAAGAAGATGAGGGATGACAGTTGTGCCACCATGGATCGCTCCCTCAGTGCAGGATCACTGGCAGGTATGTGCTACTTGTTTGTGTGTGTGTGTAAAAAAATAGCTCACATTCTTATCTCTTTCACCCACCAACTGTTCTTGTAATCTCTCTGTCTCAGAGTCAGGGATGGGGAGGATGGTGTCAGGCAGCATGTCCTCATCTATGAGCTCTCTGCAGCAACACAGGAAGTCTCAGTATCCCGGAAATGGGATAGGTGGCGCAAATGAGAAACCCTTTCCCCAAAAGAGCTGCAACTACACACAGTATAACATGATGCCTTCTAACAAGACTGAGGGTGAGCTGACCTGACTTTACCAGTTAAACTGCCTAGAAACTCAACTAACATCACTGGCTTACAAAGTCAATATAGTATGCAACTGAGTCATTAGTTTTTTATTGATTGTTCATACTTAAGATTTATACACTAAATCCTAGAATTATTTTGAAAGAAACTGCTTTCTGATGGAAACAGGCCAAAGTATTCTAACTCCTCTAGCAGATTTCTTTCACTTATTTTAAACATACTACAATACATTTTTATCTGGTTATGAATCTCAGTTCAATACTGATGCCTCTATATTACATACACAAACACCATCAGTGAGAATACTGGCTTTTTAAATATAGTTATTTTTAATGCCTGCCACTGGCTCAGAGTCGATCGGATTCCACTTGGAATCAAAGAAACCATGCCGTAGAAACACTACCGCATGGTTCACAGGGGACGCCAGAGTCAACACAAAATGGAAGTTCCTTGTAGATGGTTTAATAACATAAGGTTTTAGGTCTTAGTTACAGACAGAAATTATGTAATAAGATTAAGATGATTACTTATGTGACTTAGTGTCTACCTACCTGCATGCTTAGATTCTATTATTAAGATTTCTATGTCATTTTTCAGGTATTGCCAGTCGTCTGCTGGGCACTTCGTTTGAGTCCTCCTGTCTGCCGCAGTTGACCCGTTACGACTGTGAGGTCAACGTCCCACTGCAGGGCAACCTGCACCTCCTCCAGGGCTGTGACCTGCTGAGAGCCCTGGACCAGGCCACCTAAAGCTCCAGATTCAAACCCCGCCATAGACCCAGACTTACTCCTAGCCCGGGACATAAGCCTTTTTTACCTTTGTACCTCTGGGCTCTCTAAGAGTCCTAAGGGTTAAGCTACCTATGGGGAATGGTATACATAACCACATCCTGTCTTATTTAGCTTATTTGGCTCAGCCCCACACCCCTGTCCCCATATAGCTCTGTACCTAGACCACCTAAACAAGCTACAATGTTAGGGTCAAGCCACTTTACACCCCTTTTTTCCCCAAGCTCTCGACTCAAATCAGATGCAGGTTGACCACCAGTTCAAGAAAATTCCCATGCATTGAGCTACCCACACACAAGACCCACATATATAAGGTAACATGGGTCACTTGGTGAAAAAAGGTCAAGGCGCGACAATAAACTAACAGAGTACAAAGTGATGCAACACTCTGTCTGACCTGCGTCAAAAAGTTGTGACACTGGGATTTATTGCTGGTTTGGTATCTTCTCTCACAGGTCAGCTCTGTGTTTGGAAACACAGGTTGGGTCTTTGGTGTAAAAAAGGTGTTGGTGTGGGGTTAAAACACACAGTATGCCTTAAAGACCAGCTCTGCCCAAACATCTACAGTCAAACACATTGACCACCAGCGGTCTCCTGCTAAGGCTAAGCAAGGTGGGAATCCACAGCCAGGCTAAATATTGGTATATGATTCCAACCGACAACCTGTGTCTTATCCAGAACTGGTCTCCGTCAAAGACCTACACCCTGATATGAACTCTATGCAGCTCAGTTCCTAGCCCTACCTTCCCTTCATTATCTTAACTCATTTAGCTCAGTGGAGGAGAAGATATTATACTACCTACACATTAACAGAGACACTGTGTTCTTTCACTTCATGTTTTTGACCAGCAGTTAGATCCAGTGCACTTTTTCAGTTCCAATCAAAGCATCAAGCAAGAGTTAGATATCATGAAATAGCTCTGAAATGTAACCATTTTAAAATGTGTATGGACAAAGGATTTTCTACAAAACATGCACTTTGATTTTGCTTATTGATTCCCCCCAAAAACGTGATAGTGCTGACACATTTTCCCCTTTGAACCTTTTAAAATGTGGCATTTGAATCATTTTTAGAGGTCAAAGGAAATAATACTATTTATTCACACAAAACAAGCAGAAATTAGACAAAAGTCTGAAAAAATAAATACAATATTGTCTGCAAGAACAGCATCTTCTTTTCTCCTATCCCCTTTATCATATTACAACCATTTGCAATAAGCTATAGTAATGCAGGGTTGTTGATAACTGAAAAGATATAGCTCCCGGATCAGATAATGCTAGCTTTCAATGTTTAAACTCACGTAAAAACAACATTTAACTTTTTTATATCAAGCCTGCTTAAGATAATGATTTTTTTTTTAGAAGCTCTGATTTAATTTCATTCACAAAAGAAAAGCTAAAGCTCAGGATATGATGAGAATCAGAATCAATAAGCCAAATCAAAATTATTCCCAACTCTGATTAAGCCTTTTCCACATATACATACAATTATACAGTCATCAACCTGCCTCATCTTGCCTGAATCCATCCCAGTCACTGCAGCATCATCATCTGCTCTGTAGTGCAGTTTGGTCATTCAGGAGTCTGTTTCTCACAATATAAAGTGGCTCACAGTAACATTACATCTGTTTGGGTCAACTTTAATGACATATGCATTATATTGTTTATTTTTATTCTTATCATTAGTCTATTTTTCTGTCATTGAATTGAGAATCTATTTTAACTTTTATCAAATCTCCCCACTTTGTTTAATCCAAATCGACGGGACACTTTACCATATCAATACTGCTTTGTTTCTCTTATTTACTTTTTTTTTGTTCTTACTCCACCTACCAGCTTCTTTTATTTTTGTGTCTAACTCACAGACACAATAGTAAACATATATTGCGACACATGTACTCTACTGTAAGTTGAATAATGTTAAGTTTTTTTCCTGTTTTTCTTTTTTTTCCTTAATCTTCTCTTCTTAAATCTACGTTTGATTTATCTCAACATGTTTCTTGTGTTTCTCGGTCAGGTAAGTAGCTTGTGTGACTACAGGGTTTTTTTTCTTATTGTGCAATTATTTCATTGAGCTTAGTCAGCAACAAAGCTAGCCTTATTCACCAAACAGATCGCTTGTACAAAGGATCTGACTTAAACACCCAGTAAGCGTGCATTTGATTACATATTGTAGGCTTACACACACTTCACACAATACAGAAAACCATAAAAATCAGTGGTGTGCAAAGGCTACGTACGGGTGGGGGATGATGATGAAAAAGGGGCACCTCTCTTGAATGCAAGTATATTTTTAGGTTGATTTTTTTGCCCTTAATGGGCGTGTTTTAGGCTCCTTAACTGCAGATCAAGCATATTTTTGCCTGTTTTCTGACCTTTGTCGAATGCAGACTTTGCAGGTTTATAGTTTATTTATTCTACTGTCCCGGGTAATGCTTGATTGATGCTGCATAATATTTCCGGATTAATCGTATTGTCTGTAAAACGAGCCCAAGGTTGCATATTCAAATCTCTTGACCGCCAGTCCAAGATATTCAGTTTACGATCATATACGACTAAGAAACACACACAACAGTGTTCCAAGTTTCACAATTCAGTTTAAGCTACAAATGAAAAATCTATTCAATAATTTCCAATTCTTAATTTAGAAATTTTACTTAATTATGTTTGTCTTGTAACTATAATGTAACTGACTGTTGGAATGGTAGAAAACAATATTTGAAAGTCATAGTCAAAGAGAGAGTTTTAAATTAGCTTAACTTGCAAAATCACTGGTATCCTCCTTTTAAGATAACTGGATGATATTTGGGGGGGATTCGAAGGACATTTGAGCCAATCGCAGGGGCTAATCAGTGCACTAGGAGAGATCAAAAGGGCACGTTGGCTGAACAGAATGGAAGGCAAAAAAGACACTTCAGCTTTTTACATCAAGAAGGGCAGTGGAGGTCGCTCCCCTACGCCCTCTTTGCACATCACTGCACAAACCAGTCTAAGAGACAGTAGCAACTACATAACCACTTACTCATTCAGACTATACTTATGTACATAGCAGCAGCAGCCTTGGTTTCAGTGCAGTACAGCAGCCTGTGAAGTGACTTGAAAGTGGAGTGTATGTATTCTTTAGGATTAGGACAAGGCCAGTTTTTCTTACAGTTAACAAGATGGAGTGGCTGCCAATATCAGAAAGCTTTGAGCTAGAGTAGGTCAGAACTTTTGTTTTTTAAACGACAAATATTTCACCCAAATGATGTCAGTATAACATCGACAGTATGCCTTCAGTGAAAACACATTCTCATAATTTCTCTCTGTTCTCTCCTTACCTGTACTCTCAGTATTTTTCTTGATCTCACTATTTTTTGAGGTAATTGTCTTTGTGTGGTGACCACTTTTGAGTATCAATTATAGAGCTTTGTACACATATACGTTACGTATTTAAAGACAAAACTAATGTCAAAGATAGTGTTTTTAGTGTTTATGTGTCCTGGTACTTTGTCCTTATCTACCCCTGTAGATGCAGATGGATCAGATCCCCCGCAGTGCTGTTTCCTCTCGTGCTGTTTCTGTGTTGTGGCATTTTGTTTTGTTTTATCCTTAAATGTCTTTAATATCTTATTCCCTAAAATATCTATGAAATATATTGGCTGGGCAGTACTGTTTTTGTTGCTGCTTTAAGAAGATAAAACAAAATATAACAGGAAAAACGTTTAGATTAAAACTGAATATCAGTTTTCTAAGTTTTACTTTTCAGATATGTAGCATTTTGAATACTGTTAAGAAGGTGAAGTTGCCACATAATTAATCATAGTTTTCCAGTTGCATATATAAAAGCAATGGTGCTTCATTGACCATGTATGTGTCATTTTTAGAACCTTTATTACATCTGTTGGATCCACTAACACTATTTTGATGTTCTCTGCTTTATGTCATGATGGAATTTTCTTTAAAGTGCATTTTAATCCATATAATGTGCCTTATCATGGTTTTATTGTTGTCTCAACACATATACTGAGTTTACCCTTCAAGTGCACAGTTTGTTCCCTGCAACCTGTAGATGAATTCCTGTAACTGTGGTATATTATTAAATTAAATCCTAACTTTACATTGTATCTCATTTGAAAGTTGAAAATCTACTGAATTTACTGAAAGAATAGTATAAAACCTCCCTTTGGTTTGCAGGTTTAATTTGCAGTTTGCAAAGTTTAGTTGACACCTTATCTGCATCTACCATGTTTGTTGTCAGTTAACAACCAGCCAGAAGAGCCTGATATTAATGTGAGAATATAGTAGAAGCTATGGATTTGTTGTGTCGGCTTACCTTTTGTCATGATTATTGACCAATAAAATTTGATTGGGAATACAGTGTTAGGGTTGGGACAATTTTCATAATAACCTCTAGCTACCTTCATAGCCTCCTCTTTAGCCAAGCTTTATTTAAAAACTGATAGAACAGCATCCTAGTCATGGAACATACAATAGAAGCCTTTTAGATTAAAATAGAACCCTATTAAAATCCATTGTAGCTCCCCTGGTGATGACGAGTCCAAATTTGTTTAAGGTTTTTAAGGTAATAGATTCCCCAGCTCATCGAACAACCTGACAGTCTGTTTGTTGATGAAGGGGTTTTATGTTTAGGTGAAAAAGATTTGACTGGGCAGTAAAGGTTCTCCTGGGAAGGTCAAAGGTCAGCAGGGACAGTACTGGCTGTTGAAGTCAGTGCCTTGCTTTTGCAGATCAAGAGGTTGCCTTAAAAATGCCCATTTGGCTTTTCAGTGATGTGAAGTGAGGCTGAAGCTGTTAAATGAAGGTTACAAGCTGAATTTTGTGAATTTGTAAAAACAAACAGAACATACTCCCTTCAGCATTTTAATAATTTATGACTTGATCATTTAGATAGTTTAAATTAAAGCTGTTCATAGGAGAGATTCCAATAAAATAAGACCCAGAAAAACCCATGAAAGACAGTGCCACACTAGTTTTAACACAGAAGCTTAAAAAAATTATTGTTATTTTCATTGTTTTGGCCCTTAATTCTACCACACAATCCCATTTTCGGACCACCTTATTTGCGACATAAATGGAGTGCAACATGATAATTGTACTCTACATGTGTAGAGTAAGGGTTCTAACCAAATCTGCAATTTATGTATTTTAGAGTGCTACTTTTCTGGAAGTGAAAGTACCTGGACTCTTTCACTCCCAGTGAAAGTGGAGACTATATTAGAGTCAATATCTATGAAGATTGAATGCCGATTGTAAAAAAAAAAAAAAAAAAATTCACCAGGCACAAGTCACCTGATGTTTAATAGCACTGGAGATGGACATTATCCTGAGAGGAGATATGAAAATATGTATTGTCGAGTTGAGAGAGAGAGAGAGAGAGAGAGAGAGAGAGAGATCCTGCTCAGCCTGCCCACTGATGCATATCTCTCAACTCCTCCACTGGACAGATCGCTCATCCGTTTCTACTCTCACTTTGCTTTATTTTAAGACTCAAAAGCCACCTTACAGAATGCTCATAAAGTGTTTATAAATCATTACAATTATTGTCCCAGCACTAAATTAATTTTTGGGGACCAAAGAAGTTTTAGGACATTAAATGTTCATGCACAAGGAAAAAGAACAGCACCTCAGATGGAATTTTTTTCAACTGCAGAGATCTGAACTAAATTGTGTTAATGTATGTGGATAGAGTTGGCTAAATGGAAGTCGATTTAAAAATAAAAATCTAGGCAGAGGGGAAGTCCCACCCCCTTTTAAGATAGCTTCTGCTCCACTAGCTTTGGCCAGACAATTTTAAAATTGGTAAAAAATTAAAAATGTATACACTTAGTAATATTGTTAATAGATATTGATATAACTTAGAATTTAGATGGAAAACCCCAGGAATAGGTGTCAGCTTTTCAGAAAGTATAGATTCCGAGAGAATCCATTAAGAAGCCAACGCTAGTAACACAGATGCTAAGCTAAAATGGGCGGGGCTTCAGCTATTTAAACCCTAGAAGACTTATCACCAGCCCTAGTGCTCAACATACTGTGCTGCTTGAAGGGTTTCCCCAAAACAAAAGGTTTCAGGAGGTAATGCACTCATTCATTGCACTTCTTCTTTAAAGACAATATCAGCATTTTGTCTTGTGTAACAACTGGGTTTTTGTTTTTCTTCATGGGATCCATGTTCAGCTTCTTGTATTCTGTTTTTGTTAATGTCATACAATACAGTTATATTAGCTGATTCTGCATTTTTTTTAAATATGCTAAAAATTCATATTGATCTTATTATTATCATATATTGTTATCATTGTTATTACTATATGGGGAATTTAACCTGATAAGAAGTTTGTGTTTCTGCACTGATATCTTATTATTAAAGCATACTGATCTTACCTTCCCTTATCGGTTTCATGCGTGGTTTATTGTAGTTAAGTATCAATGATTTCCATTATAAGTCAAAGGTTTCCAGCAAAATAAACATATAGACTATTAACAGTGAAATATACTCAAGTAGGAAAAGTTAAACGTTTAAGTATTGAAAAACCCAGCAGGTTATTTGACAACACTAAAGGCGTTTCAGCCAAATGGTATACAACTTGTAATAAATAAATGTATAATGTATAATTGATCAACATCAATTTACAACATTTAAATTTCTCCCAAGATTATGGGTATATAATAAATAACAGAAGTACCAGTACAGAGCCCTGTGGCAACCCCTTCATAAATTCTAGTATTGCAATAAATTGCTGCAGTTGGGTAAACTTGGATCAATTTGTCCCATTTT